TTCACACATCAATTTTATGCATATTGCTCTTGACACTTGATTAATTCGAATTATCCATATTCACAAGTTTATGGAATGGCTTTTTTGTTTTGATGATTATTCATTACTACTTTTTAATGCCTACAGTTATTCCTAAACATTACCTGTTCTTTTACAATGTAGCATTCCTCGCCGCTATCTAACCGGTTTTCAAATGTCTTTTATCGTTTTTTGCTTGTTATTATAATATACTCATTCAGCAATAACCCTTTTGTTTTCCCTAGGAACCTATTCCCAAAAGTGGAGCAGGTAAAAGTCCAACTTCCAACTGGCAACGTCGAGATTCAATATAATGGGCTAAAGCATGTCGATGACCCCGAGCCAACCACCGAACTGGGCAAGAATCAATTTTAATTAAATTATTTCTTAACCTTATATCATATAGTTGCATTCGTATTGCTTATTCATTCTTCCATATTCATGTTCTTTTTTCTATTTTAGGTGTACATAGTATAATGGCACCCTTCCTGAATTCATCAGCTGTTGATACTCAGGGCAAAGGGAATCCAATCAAGCCTCTTTTTCAAAAGGTTCGTGCTTGTTTCAGCTTTACAATGGAAATGCTAAACTGAATTGTCATTCGGTTTTCGTTCTAAGGCATGGGCCCTTTAGTTAATGATCCCATACCTGCATGCATTCTCGCTCAGCTGTTTAGGTAATTGCCACGTGGTTGCCAGCATTCCATGAGGTCGATTCTCCAATAACCGAAGCAGCATTAGCAATGCCTCTGGGATTCCCCTGCTCGCATTTCTTGCTCTTTCTCTCCCTCTCTACCTCACAAATGCCTTTGCCGTCATGCGCGCGCTCTTATACTAGCAGTTCAGGTTTGCCTTGTGCTCTCTCTCATCTTCTGTCTGTGCGTGTTTTATTCTTATCTGTGTCTACCTGTCTGTCTGACTGCCTATCAGCCTGTCAGCCGCCTCATCGGCAGTGCCAGGCAGACCTGCGGGGGCGTCCACTTAGCCCTACCTACGTATCGATCACACGTGACCCAGATACCAGATGTTGGGCTCTTGCCTTTGTTCACGTGACTATGTCCAAACATACCTCTTCGTCTACGACATGTCTCGCACCTGCAACACCTATGTCATGCCTATTTTTAGTACACCTCACTACCCCTCTAAATGTACAGACCCCACATCTCTTGATCGCATATCATCTCGCTTACGTACGGAGGTAGCCTTTTGAATTGAGTCTTTCTTTTATGAACTCTACACTCTCTGAGTTGTGCTAGAATTCGTAGTTTATATTCTAGTCATAATCTTGCCTACACGTTGATATCATACTCTCAACTATTGGTCAGCATTCCTCCAAGACCTGAACCACCTTCCTATTCATTTCCCTTAGTCCGTTCTGCAGCATTGACTGCTTTTCCTTTAGTCTTGAGCAACGCAATGCTCATGGTCTTGCCTATAATACCATTTTATTAATTTGGTTCTACATTTCCACGATCCTTTCTGGAGATCATTCCGTGCGTGATTTAATGCTTTTGCATGTATTGCCTAAACTACACTACGCTTTGATTCGTGATGGCGTTTAATGACCACATACCAACCATATACAAATGATAAATAGTTCGAAATGGGGTTTCGAAAATCTTAAACTGAGACGTATTCAT